CCTGTCTTATGCACTAACCTAGGCACCATATCTAGCTACCTAAACACCAGTCTAACACTTCCCCCTTAAGCCACTTCCCTCACCACCACATTAAATCTCCTTCCAACAATCTAAGCTGCTGATGACTTGGAATTTTGTCCTATTCCCACTTTCAAGTTCTATAGTCACTTACTAATTTCCTGTTTAATTCACTGTCTGGATGAAACAGGGTTTTATGAGCTCTGTGTATTATGAAGGTAAAGCCCTTCACCTTATTGGCCTAGCCATTACTCCACCATTACTTCTGTTCCTAGGTTGCTGGTTACCTCGGGCCATAATTCCTCCATGACCCACCTAGGTCTGCCCACAGGGCTCTGCCTAGCGCTGCTTATCCTGGTAGGTGCACTGGGAACTGTGGCCTATCAGAAACGAGCTACTCTTCAGGTGGGATCATCTGCCCCTTATCATTCACCAGAAGTCCAAACTACAACTAGGGGCTTAGCTGGAGGAGTAAGAGAGGTGTGATAGTACTGAAAGCATGATGGGACAGGACAGAAATTATTTAAGACAACTGGGTGGGCCCTGGCTGTTGTGGCTCAGTGGACTGAGTGCCAGCCTGCGAACCACGGGCTCGCTTGTTGATTCCCAGTTGGAGCACGTGCCTGGGTTGCAGGCCAAGTCCCTGGTTGGGGGCCATGTGAAAGGCAACCACAAATTGATGTTTCTCTCCCCTTTAAAAGTAAATAAAATATAAAAATTAAATAAAATTAAAAAGACAACTGGATCGGAGGTCAATCTACTATCTACCTTTAAGTTCTACTTTTCTCAACATGCCTCTTTTCATACTGGGTTTGCAATGGAAAAAAAAAGGTAGACTTATCATTCCAAAGATTCATTCTTTATTTTGATATAAAAAATAAACACTTCTACCTCTAAAGAGTATCAATTATTCTCATATTGCTGTAGAGCAAACTTACAGAATAAGAACATCTGCTAGCAGCTCCAAGGATATCACACATGCTTTTGAAAAAATCATTGCTATTTGGGTTCAAACACACATCAGTATGGAGGAAGGAGTAACTTATTATCTCCCTCTTCTAATTTTCCCATAATTTTACTATACCATCACAGGAAAGCTAGTGGTTGAGATATCACATAATTATGTCAGAATCTGCTAAGGGTGGTGAAACCAGCCATCTGAATCCAGCTAAATATAAAAACATGATCTTTTATTGCCCTTCTGTTCTATTTCTGGAGAAGGGTTCTACTTTATAACCCCATGGACCAGCAGTAGGCCTGAGTAACAATGTGTAGGTGCCTTTTGGTTATAGTTACAGAAGAAGCCATTAAATTCTTGAGTGTTTGACATCTCTTGAGGCAGACTGCTGATCTGGATTTGCTTAGATTGAAAACATTTACAGTAGGAGTCCAGCTAATACTGAAATAACCAGACCTGTGGTATTCAGCGACTTTAGTTAGCAGATTAGGATACCATTCCGAGACCTTTAAGCGGCACACCTGAAGTTCTCACTGTCAAGTTGTGGCTTTGACTCCATCAGCTATGGTTATCTTCTCTGATTTTAATGCCTATCAGTCTTTACCAGCTGTAGCAGCCACTGCCTGGTAAAACTTTGCCACAAAGTCTGGCTCACTGATCTCCAGCTGCCTGACAAATTCATTGCGTTCCTCCTCAGCCCAACCTCGAAACCACTGATCCCAAAGACGCAGCTGGCACTCAAAGATACAGGGTGGTCGATTTCCTCCAGACACACTAAGCTGCTCCAGACCTTCCAGCAATGGCTGTAATTTTCCTGGTACTGCTTTAGCTACCAGGTCCTGTAGGAAACGTTCACGCTGAGGATCTGACCAATTGGCAAACCAGTGAAGAATACACTTCATTTCCTGGGATGTGATGTAAGACATTGGGGGAGAGGAAGAGTTGGTAAAATTGTCTGGCACCGAGGGTAAAGGAGAAGGGAAGGATAGTTGCATCGATGATGAAGATGAGTCCAGTGGCATCCTGAAACATAAAAGCAGTTATATACTCTTTGGACAAAGCAACCAAAATACAACTTCCCAACAAGAAATCTTATCACACTCAATCAGTATCTATAAAGAAAATTACTTTTCACCAGTACAATTTACAAAAATTAGGTTATTATCAAACTACTTTAGAGAAGTCATCTAAGAATAAATTTTGTACTTGCCAACCTTCTTTTTCAAACCAGTCTCCCTCCCCAACCACCGTTTCTCTCCATTTTTTTTCAAAAAATACTTTATTTATTTTTAGGAAGGGAAAAGGTGGAAGAAAGAGAAGAGAAACACTGAAACGTGACTTGATTCCCTCTCATATGTCTCCACCTGAGCATCTGGCCCACAACCCAGGCATATGCCCTCGCTGGGAATTGAACCAGCAACCTTCTGGTTCGCAGGCTGGCACTCAATCCACTGAGCCATACCAGCCAGGGCATCATTCTTATTAAAAAATCTAAAAATAACTTTTCTTTCAAGTGACCAAAATTTTTTGACTAACAGCATGGCAGTTTCCCGTTTATTAGACTTTGGTGATTAAACACAAGTAGCCTTGTACCAAACAGTGAACATGCCAAGGGTGAGAGTAGCTTAAGAGTTTTACTGTATGAAAAATGTTTTCAAATAACATCTCTCCCTTTGGCCATATCAGTTCAGATCATCGAAATACACATTTTAAAATCATTTCTTCACTTCTCCAAAATCTATCATCATCTACATCTGGCCATTTTTCCAAAATGACATCAGTGACGTAACCTGTAAAGTCTCCCTGAATGATGATTTCGTTCTCCAGTTACTGAGGCACTACAGAATTTTTGAGCAAAAAAATCTGTTTCTTTTTAAGATTAATTTCAGAAGTTGTAAGGCCACATACTCTTTAAATTTTTCATCTGATATATTTATTGATTTGGACAGGGGGGTGGGGAGAAGAGAGAAAAAAAGAACATCAATGTGAGTAAGAAACGGCAAGTTGTCTCCTCAAGCACCTGAATGAGAAATCAAACCTGCAGCCTTTTGGTGTACAGATGACCCTTCACCAAGTAAGCCACCCAGCCAAAGCAAGGCCATATACTCTTACATAATTCTTCTTTGCTCTAGGAATTTTGGCTATCATAATCTTTTTTGGCAGTCTTTTTTTGTTTGTTTGTTTGCCCGCTTCCACATCTCTTTTGTTTTTCCTTTTCTTCCTCTTCTCCTGCTGTTCCTTGACCCTCAATAATTCCGGCTTATCCAATACATTTCTTGCCCATTTTCTCCTGCCTATTTCGATGTTCCAGGTTGAGTAAAGAAAAAACGGTTAATGTTGGTCCACCTTATCTTCCCTAAGTTTTAGAAGGTACCAGTTTTTTAATCAAGTATATACACCTGGTCAGGGAAGGCCCAATGCTAACCATTCCAGAGCCATCCACAGTGGAGGGTAAAAAATACATCACATACAATGAATGAATGAGTCTCCTTTGCAAGGTATATAGAGCTTCTAAAATATGCCAACAGCCCTGGCTGGTGTGGCTTAGTGGATTGAACACTGGCCTGTAAACTGAAAGGTCATTGGTTCAATTCCCAGACAGGGCACATGCCTGGGTTACAGGGCAGGTCCCCACTTGGGGGCATGTAAGAGATGGAGATCCATCTATCTCTCACACATTGATGTTTCTCTCCCTTACCTTCTCTCTAAAAGTAAATAAATAAAATCTTTTAAAAAATAAATAAAATATGCCAAGAAAATGATAACATCCATTACTTCTTTGTATTTTCTGTAACGCACCAGGAAGAAGGGCAGAAGTGATGGGCCCTGAACCAAAATAACATAGTAAGAAAAAAAAAACAAAAGAATAGTCACGTGTTTATACATGATTGAAAAAAGGCATAGTTGGTTTCTAGGCTTACAGATCTAACAAGAGTTACACTGCTGTAGATGTGTAACAGTTTGTGTGTTTCAACAGTTTTCCCTAAAGTTCAACATAATACCTATTGATCGCCCTATCACTGATGTGCATCACTAATGCAACTATAAGGTCCGCCAACTTGAATGATTTTCAAGGACCACAATTTGAATCTCTAACAATGAGAACCTTAAACTACTACTGTAAGTGAGCTATCGTACTGTTTGTGCCAATTGGATTATTTGTAAAGAGAAAGGAACCTCTAAGCAAGTAATATCAGTTCAGTACCATCAGTTCAGTCCTGCGAGACTTTTTAACGTGGCCCTACAAGAAACAATTTCTCCTAAAAAAAACTGTATTCCCTTATTCGGAGAAAGAATTTTTTCCGAGTCTTGCGACATGGCTTCCACGGCAAACTCAAGTTCAACGATCATGAATTGGTTCAGTCTAAGTTCGAAGGCACGCTGCTGCTACTTTTCCACCTTGGAGGCCAAAGAGCCCGGCATTTCGAGGTCCCAAAGAAAAACGTAGACTTAGATCGGAGTGGCGGGGATTAAGAGGACGGGAGGCACCATCTGTTTCCGTAGAAGAAACTTGCCCCACGAGGGTGACCCGCAAACACCGAGTCAGACCCAGTCCAGACAAGGACTTCTACCCCGCTTACCTCCCCTTTCCTCTCACAGGGAACCGAGAGACCATCGTAAGAGTACTTGGGCTCCATCTACGGCCAAGGCTTCCATGTTTCCTGAAAACCCTAAGCACAGCCAGCCAGGCAGCCCACGCACTTCCGGCCCCGGACCAGCCCCAAACGCCCAAGCGCCCCAGCGTCAGGTCCGGAGAGAGCCGAATAACTCCGATCTTGATTATGCCAGAGTCGAGAGCTTCCGAATAGATTCGATTTAAAGCCTCGGTAAAACGAAGATAATCGAGCTCTGAAAGAAGGATGACGGAGTGGGGAGCGTCTGGGAAAATGGAAAGAACCGATTGGTGCCGATGTGGAGACGGAAACACCCGAGCAGTGCCGGAGGAACTCGGGGAGTTCTGAGTGGTAATCGAGGGGAGGATTATGGCAGTGGGCGGAGTCAGACCGGTACGTTCGAAGGGCGTTAGCGGAAATTACCGAAGATGCCCGAAGCCGTCGGGACGGACCCGAGTACCTCACGCAAGATGGCGGAGCTGGAGGAGGTGACTCTGGACGGGAAGCCTCTTCAGGCGCTGCGGGTGACCGACCTGAAGGCCGCACTAGAGCAGCGAGGCCTAGCCAAGAGCGGGCAGAAGAGTGCCCTGGTCAAGCGGCTCAAAGGGGTGAGGAGACGGCCTTGCCGGGGTGTCGGAGGGGAGCGGACCCGGTAGAGACGAGTCTCTGCTGCGGCGCAGGCGCAGTGTCCGGGCTCGGCGCGAGCTGGCTCAGGCCGCCAGCGCGAGCCGGAGCCGTGCGCACGGTGGTTGGCGAGGCTCGCGCTGGTATAGAGATAGCGCCGGTTCCCGCCTTAACGGCAGCAGCGCGAGCCCAAAATGGGAGGGTGCGCGCTACTCTCCCGGAGTGTCTTAAGCTCCTTCCTTCTTTCCCCACCCCCTCCTTGTTTGTGTCTGTGGTTTCGGCGCATGCGCTGCAGAAGGAGTTAAATCCCACTACTAGTGCCGGTGTTGCTATCCTGTAGGGGGGCTCGTTGGGCTGGTGGGGAGTTTAGGGGTATAGTTGGGCGGAGAGGTTGATGGGGTTGGTATCGGTATCTAGAAAAATCGGATTGGAGTAGGGTAAAAATGTCTACATTAGGAGCTGTGATTAAGAGAATCCTTAATTTGAAGGGTATGGTTATAGAGGGGTGTATAATTTATAGGGCATCCACAGCAATTTGGGTAGATTAGAGTTTGATGACTATTGGTGAGAGAGGTGAGGCAGGTTGTTATATATGTTGGGGGGTTTTAATCGGTTTGAGTAGGTTATGGTAGGATAGTTATGAGGTGGATGGATGGATTGGTTGTGTATGGGTGTAAACGAAGGGAACATGAGGATGTCTTGATTTTAAGTGGGGTGAATTAGGATATGTGGTGGGTAGTACAGATTAGGGCTGAGTTGGCTCAAGGGTTGAGTTGGCAGATTGTTGCTTTATACATTAACTGACAATTTCTTGGGGAGGATCATTAAGTCAGACCGCAGTTCATGGGGTCTGCTCATTTTGTTCTGTAGTCTCTTCTTTAAATTTAATAAATCTAGGTGCCACTCTTATGGAAAGAATTTTAAGTAGATCTGGTCCAAGGTAACTGTAAATGTAGTCCTGGTTAACTGTTTGACCAAGTAATTCAATCAGACCAAAACCAGCAGCCCCATGGTTTCGTGTATTTGGAGCTGATTTGAGGATTTGAATTTTACCTGCAGTGCCAGGTTTAGAAAGGGCACTAGTCAGAAGTCCAAAAGAGTATAGAGGTTATATTGTAGTACTGGCTCCATCACTGTCACTGATTTTGTTAGGACACTGATTGTCTCATGTACCTGCATTTTACCTCTGTACATTTGGGAGCAGTAACCATGGCTACTTTTAAGGGTCTTCTGAAGATAAACGAGAACAGTATTAGTAAACGGCTCTTAGGTCCCTGGAAAGAGAGTACAGTTTAAGTGTGTATGATTAGTTGTTGCATTTAACAAAAAGATTGGGGGAGGGGTGGCTTATTTCCACCTGATTTCTGACTTTTTGCCCTTCTCTACACCAGGCTCTAATGCTAGAAAATTTACAGAAACACTCAACACCCCATGCTGCATTTCAGCCAAATTCCCAGGTAAGAAAGAAGGTTCATTAGAGGGGGTAAGCTCTTTGGATGCACAGACAACATGGAAAGATACGACATATACTTGATCCTTAATTCCTTACAACATATCCTAAAGTTCCCTGGCTCAGAAATGTTCTTATACCAGGAAAGTTGAATTCTAATAAAAGAATTCAAGAGCAGAATCAGAAGAGCTATTAATAACCAAAATCAGAGCAGAATTAAATGGCAGAGATTAAAAGCACAATTCTAAGGATCAATAAATCCAGGAGCTGGTTCTTTCAAAAGAGAAGAGCTATTAGTTAATTTCTAATACATACTTGAAATGGTGTGTGCAGAAAGATGTGGCTCCAACTTAAGTGTTGTACAGGAATCTGAAGCCATTTATTTACCATTGATTTGGGGGAAGTAGTAGTCTTTGAATGTAAAAATAAAGTAGATGGTCACTAGGGCAATTTAGAAAAATACTTGCTGAGGAGCTCTCATGTTGACAGATTTTTAAAGAATTTGGTCCTTTGGAAATCATCCACCATTAAAAGTGTTAATACTGACCATATAGTTACTCCTAAACATAATTAGTTGCTCTGTTACTTAAGGCAAGATACTTCACCTTTAGAGGCCTTGGTTTCTTCAGTTTCCCTATGTGTAATATAAGAGGTTAGACCAGATCCATAGTTTTATAACTGCTCTGCTCAGGTTTTGTGAAGCTGCTTTTGGCAGCTTCCTGGCAAATACACCTTCTTCCCAAGTGAGCAAGGGTTCATACTCTGCTCTTAAACTAGATCAGATCTATCTGCTTTGTATATTGAGTTTTTGCATAAGACTTTAGAAATAATCATTCTACAGTTTCCCTTTAAAATAAAAAACCGTAAAAACTAAAATCTTAGCACTATCTTAAACTGCACGATCTCTTAAGATTTTTTTTAGTTTTAAAATTCCCTCATTGTGCCCTGGCTGGTGTGGCTCAGTGGATTAAGTGCCAGCCTGTGAAGCAAAGTATCACTGGTTGGATTCCCAGTCAGGGCACATGCCTGGGTTGCAGGCCAGGTCCCCAGTAGGGAGCGTGTGAGAGGCAGTTGATCCATGTATCTTGCACACTGATGTTTCTGTCCCTCTCTTTCTCCCTCCCTTCCCCTCTCTCTAAAAGTAAATGAATACAATCTTTTAAAAATCCCCTCATTGTAGTGTATCATGCACTTAAAGGAAAAATCCAGATCTTTGTTAGTGCAGTGGTGTGCAGCTCCGGTACTAGATTAAGTCCCAAGATGCTGTGGAAAAACAAGAAAGCCTTCCTCCTACCTTGTTATCACCTCATTAAGTTGACTCTTAATCCAGCCAGTTTACAGAGGTTTAGTTAAGTACTTTAATAAGCATTAAAAACTGCATAAGTTAATCAGTTTATGATTATATTCCTTTTTCATTTTAATCTTTGAAGCAGCAGATTTGCTTTTATTGACATAGGATTTTTTTACAAGATTTTATTTATTTATTTGTTTATTTATTTTCAGAGAGGGGATAAGGAGGGAGAAAGAGAGAGAAACATCAATGTGTGGTTGCCTCTGACAAGCCCTGGGGACCTAGTTGGGCCCTCAACCCAGGCATGTGCCTTAGGCTGGGAATTGAACCAGCAGCCCTTTGGTTTGTAGGCTGGTGCTCAATCCACTGAGTCACACCAGCCAGAGCTATCATAGCATTTTTGCAATAAATACATGTGTTCTCTAATATATGAACCCACACTTCGTCAATGTCCATTGAGTACCAAGAAACTCATTTCTGCTTTAGGTGAAAGCGAACATTTACCATACTTAGGAAGGATAACTAGTAATATAGAACATATTTAGATTTTTTTCCTTTTTCTGGAATTCTAATAGGACTTGCCAAGCAAGACGGTTCTCAGGAGGAGGATTTGTGAAGAGAAAGCTGAAGGACAGAAGAGTGATGTGGGGGTCTGTGTTGCAAAAAAAAAAGGCAGGGAGGATTAAGCCTCTGGATTTTAAATGTTGTTACCACAGATTTCTTATCACCCAAAGAAAATGCATCTTGAACTCTGTCTAAAAGTTGAATGGACATCCTTTTTAAAATTTCTTGCTTTCGTACTTTTAAGTACTATTCTTGAATTTTGGAGATGTTTGTCAAAATGTCGCCTGGATATATTGAGATTAGTCTTCTGTTAGCAACAAAAAATGAACTAGAATTTTTTCATTTCATTTCTTGATGTTACTATCATAAGAGAAATTTAGATTTCCCTTTTTAAAGGTTTTATTTATTTGTTTTTAGAGAGGGGAAGAGAGGGAGAAAGGGAGAGAAACATCAGTGTGAGAGAGAAACGTGGATCAGTTTCCTCCACTGGGGACAAATCCACAACCTAGGCATAGGCCCTAGGCATATGACTGGGAATCAAACCAACAACCTTTTGCTTTGTGGAACAACACCCAACCAACAGCACAAGAGTCAGAGCTAGATTGTTTGTAGATAATATGTTTTTATTATCTAAAAGTTTATATTACACGATGTAGTTTTACAGGAAGTTATTTCTTTTAAGTTATTTATGCATCTTTCTTTGGATGGGAACTGAATATTTAAAATTAAAAAAATTACGTGCAGTTCCTCATTTTGCCATCTTTTATGGATCATAGGGCTATTTATTTTGGTCCTCAGCATAAAAGTAGCTTAAAAAATGGCCATCTAACATTTTAATCATCTTTTTTGAGTCTAGTAAGGAGTAGACTTTTGGACCATGGAATGTCCTTCCTTGCATTTTCCTAATTTGCCTTCCTAGACTTTCCTTTTTGATGTCCTCTACACAGATCGGCGAGGAAATGAGCCAGAACAGTTTCATAAAACAGTATCTGGAAAAGCAGCAGGAGCTACTTAGGCAGCGTCTGGAACGTGAAGCTCGAGAAGCTGCAGAACTTGAAGGTAAGCCCAGAACTGTCACTTCTTACATAAAGGAGTTCTTCATTCTTATTCCTATAACCAAGTAGATCGGCCTGTTTAGGCAATTTCAGGAATAAGTCAGTCTGAGACTAACTACTTATTTGCTTTGGTAGTTTATGGAGCCAAGTGAGTTACTATTTACTTTTTGTCAGGGCAGAAGACACTTAATTTGACTATCTTATTAGAAGAGGATTCCTGCCACCAGGAAGAGTTATAAGTAAATTAAGCCACCCTGTAGATGAGGTACAGCTTAATCCTAGGGAGTTTTTCTCTATGTACAGCACTTTCTTTTAGTAAATACTCTGTATCCATGACTTTGCCTGACCTCCTTCACTCCTACATATTCCCACATGCTGAGCCCTTCACTCCCTCCCTGCCCCGACCCAATCTGTACTTTGCAGAAGCTTCAGCTGAGTCGGAGGACGAGATGATCCATCCTGAGGGAGTGGCTTCCCTGCTGCCTCCTGACTTTCAGAGCAGCCTGGAGAGACCAGAGCTGGAGCTCAGCAGACATTCGCCCAGTACGTATCTCCCTCCCCACTGCGCTGTTTTGTCAATCCTGCGTAGTTGGTGGGGGGAGGTAGTTACACCTCCTTTCCTGCTAAGCCTCCGTTAAAGTCCCAGGGAAACTCTGTGACTTGATATTTGACATGTTTTTTTATGAAAACTGTGTCCTTTTTGAGGTCTCCTTTCACCACTATGTTGTGTTAACCTCTTAAAGTGTTTTATAAAGCAATTTGATTTTTCTTTTCATTTCTACCCTTTTAACTTCTTCTACCTCTGAATTTAGCAACAGTCACAACTTTTTTCCACCTCTTTATCAATTATGTATATTATGAGTTGCACATCCAGTCACTCCCAAGAGGGCATCTACTACAGTTTATTAATTCATAATTTTTATTGAGCACCTGTTTATGCCAGGCATGTGCTAGGCACCAGGAATATGGTAAAGAAAGAGATAAGTCTCTGCCCTAATGAAATGTATAGTCTAGTGAGGAGATGGACATTAAACAAATTATGACGTAATTAATTACAGTTGTACTATTTGCTATGAAAGTCAGTGCAGAGTATTATGTGACCCAGTATGTGGACCACATTCAGGCAGGATTAAATTTTTCACATTATTAGGCAACTAGTTTTGCATAGTATCTCATGCAAAAGTGTAAATGCAGCCTTTGTCAGGAAATACTTATATAAGTATCCTTTCAGAAGAACATGTGTGTAAGACTTATGTACAGTAAATAGCTATATTTTTTAATAAAGTTTTTATAGGGAAAGAGAGGGAGAGAAACATTGATTGGTTTCCTCTTGCACGTACCCCAACTAGGGACCAAACTTGCTACCTGGGCATGTGCCGGAATTGGATGAGTGACCTTTCAGTTTACAGGACAGTGCTCAGCCAACTGAGCCACAATGGTCAGGGCAGATAGCTATATGGAACCAATGGTTAAATTAACAAGTATTTTTAATCATTTTTTAAAAGATTTTATTTATTTTTGGAAAGAGGGGTAGGGAAGGAGAAAGCGAGAGGAACATCGATGTGTGGTTGCCTCTCATGTGCCCCCTACTGGGGGCCTGGCCTACAACGCAGGCATGTGCCCTAGACTACTAATCCAGCTGGTAACCTTTTGGTTTGCAGGCCTGCGCTCAATCCACTAAGTTAATGCCAACCAGGGCTGAGTCATTATTAATATTAGTGGTCATGGTTAGTTGCTGGCTCTTCTCATTAATATAGAATTTCCTCTTGAAAATGGATTTTTAGGAGGTGTTTAATGGTTGGAGAGAAACACACTCTTTTAGAGACTTCTTCTCAAATATAAGAGTGATAGAACCTCAATTGATCCATTTAGTTCTTAGCACTCTTTTTTTCCCTGATCATGAAGCCAGGAGAAAGGGGGAAAACTTTTATAAATTAGTTGTCAGTGTTCCTTCTCAAATAAAAATCACTCAAAGTATTTATTGATTCCTGCTATTTACATATCTCCATACTAGAGTATATAGGGAGATAGCACATTTGTAAAAATCTATTTAGGGAGAGAGAAGACAATTGCACATAAAATTAACACTAGAAGGTGGTATTTTTTTAAAAAAAGATTATTTTTAGAGAGAGGGGAAGGGAGGGACAGAGAAGGTGAGAAACATCAATGTGAGAGAGAAACATTGATCAGTTGCCTCTTGTATGGACTCAATCCACAACCCAGGCAAGTGGCTTGACCAGGAATCAAACTGGCTACCTTTCACTTACTGGGATGATGCCCAGCCAGCTGAGCCATACTGGCAAAGGCTGGGACTCTAGATTTTTTAAAGTCCTCTTGTAGTTCTGTTCTTCTGGGACTCTACATTTTTTTAAGTCTTCTTATTCTGTTGATCAACTCAATTTATGAATGACTAACTGAAAGAATAGTTTTTCAGTGTAGTATTTAATCATGATCCTTGGTTTATATTTTAGCAACCTCCTATTTATGTGCTATAGACAATCCCAAATAGGAAGGAAGAGTTGGTTTATAAAATCCTCCCTGACTCTCCTTGCCTTCCTGTCTATCACTTTCATCAGATTTTTTTAGGTATTGGGAGTCAGTACTCACCCTCTAAATAGTCAGAAGTTGTCTGGAGTCTTTTTAGATCATGACTGAGTATACAAATATCCTATGTTAATTATTTCAAAAAGAGCCCAGTCTAGGAAAATCAGGAGGAAAAAATATGCCAAAATATTTAAAAATGAATATTTAGAATACAGGTTCTTTAACTAAGAAGTAGCCCCAAAGATCTTAGTGAGGCTTTTGTTTACAGAACATGTAGTACTTACTACTTTTCTCATATTAAATCTGGATGCTGAGATGCTAGAGAAATGCTAGATGTTTAATGGAGACAGCCACCGTGACTCAGATTTAGGTTTGGCATCATTGCCAGGTCTCCATTCTTTTAATTCCTGTGTCTTATTCAAACCCAAATACCCGTTGGCTACAGGAGTTTGCTCTGCTCTTTTATTTTTTAAGGCTTTATCTATTTTTTTAGAGAGAGGGGAAGGAGGGAAGAAAGACAGGAAAAGAAACATCAGTCAGTTGCCTCTCACACACCCTGAGTTGGGGATGTGGCCCACAGCTGGGAGTCAGACCTACAGCCTTTCAATTCACAGGCCAATGCTCAGTCCACTGAACCACACCAGCCAGGGCTTGCTGTGATCTTTAGTTACCTTACTGAGGTCCTGTAAATCCTGTCCAGAGATTTGTCTTCTAGGGTGAAGAACCTTCTCTCCAATATGGTTCTTCCATTGTTCAGTTGAAAACCTTATACATTGTCTAGCAGCTAGTAGCCAGCCACCTTGTCCTTTGTCCCGAAGGCATCTGGCTTTGGAATCTTGGAAATCTTAACATTTACCCTGACTTGCTTTTCAGTTCCCAAAATACATTTATTAACCCATCCCCACTGTTTGCTCCACCTTTTGCTAAAGGTGTTCAGTTTCTACACATTATTCACATCTGGCTTAGAACACTTATGTGGCCCTGTGCTCATAATAGAAAGATGGCACCTTTCCCAAAAGCTTGTCTGTATCATACCGGCTTTATACAAAGAACTAGAGATTCTTCGTCTCTTATATTTTGTATTGTTTACTAAGTAAGCTCTTGTTTCACGTTGTCACATTTTTTTTTAAGAGGGGGGAGAGAGGTAAATGTCCATTTGTTCCACTTATTTATGCATTCATTTTTTTAATTGAGTTTATTTAGGTGACATTGGTTAATAATAAAATTACAGATTTCAGGTATACGATTCCATAATACATCATCTGTATATTGTATTGTGTGTTCAGCACCCCAAGTCAAGTCTCCCTCTGTCATCGTTTATCACCTCTTTATCCTCTCCTACCTTCCCCAATTTTCATTTCCTTGTGGTAATCACTGTACAAATGTTGTCTGTCTAGGAGTTGTTTTGTTTTGTTTTTGTGGGGGGAATGATTGGTATTTTTCTCTTCCATTTATCTCCCTTATATCCCACTGCCCACAGTCATCACACTGACGTCCATGTCCATTAGTCCTTTCGCCTCTTTTCTCACTCCCTCTACCTCCCAATCCCCATCCTGGAGCTGTCAGCCTGCTCTCTCTGAGTCTGTCTCTATTTTGCTCGTAAGTTCAACTTGTTCACCAGATTCTACATATTAGTGAAATCATATGCATTGGTTGACTATTGTATGTACCCCGACCTTACCCACAACCTTGCTTTATTGGGATGACACTCCAGCCAGCTGAGCTACCTCACCAGGGCTATTTATTGATTTCTTACAGGTTATTCTGAATGTTTACTAAAAAAATTTGGCCTGGTACTGTATCTCTTAACCATACATCCTGTATACACACCCACAGTGCAGGTCTTTATTTACTAACCCAGATAAAAAATGGTGTATATGCAGAGATCCTGTTAGTTAAATGATCATGGAGTAAAGTTTTACAAAATATGTGCAGTTTTCTAGGTCATTTTATAACTTTCTTTTTTTAATTACAGAAACAAAGACTAGTTCATTATAAGGTTGTTGAGATACAGAAATAAGAGAGGAGATCCTGCATTAGAGGTCATACCATCTGCTTTATTTGCCACCATTTTATATACTATTAGTGTAGAATATAGCTTTGTGGATCGTTTAAACCTTTTGTACTGTATTAAAATGGAGCCCAATGGAGTACGTATTGGAATGTAATGTTTTTTAGGCTGTCTTCTATATACTGTCTTCTCATCAGTATTGCATTGATGCTCTATTTAATTTTTTAATACTTTTAGAAAACTTAGAAATCTTCCAGCCCATTCCCTCCTTTTTCTCAAGTCATTGTGACCAACTTACCATGTTTTGTAAAATGTGTGAGGAAATTTTTCCAGTTTTATGTGGAGTAGTATTTGCAGTAACCTAGACTGGCAGTTTCCAAGCTTTCTTTTAGTAGAACTTATTTCCCCCCCAAAAAAAATCTCACCTTGAGCTCCATTATATAAAACATAATTGAGAAGGGCTCTTTCTGAAGCCTTGTTCAGTTTGCCTCTAGTAATTTCTAAGTACTTTAGGGCCCTGAAAACTATTTGTTTAAGATTGTTATATTACAAACTGGTATATTAATCATAACATATTGGTCAAAATTAGTGGTAGCAATTGGCAATCCATAAAAACAGTGAATATAGTGAAGTGTTGAGTTTTGATTCAGAGTAAGAAAATATTTTATAGAAATAAGTGCATTTTGTATTTGTACATTTTTGCTAGACAGTTTGAATGCCCTGGTAGTTATTTTACATTTATTTGAGTTATTTGTAATAAGTGAATTGGTTTCAACATACTAAAAATATTCCAGACATACAGGGCAGGAATTATTAATATTACCCTGACCCTTAGGGCTTTATACGTCTTTTCTTCTGCATAGAAGTCAAATAAGCTGGTATCAGTATGTATCGACGAGCTCATGTGCTATGATTGACTAAATTTAGAAGAAAGCAATCTTGAGTGAATGTTCATGTCATGAGTCTGACTTGATTTTCTTTTGTTTGATAGGAAAAAGCTCCTCTGTTTCTGAAGAGAAAGGTGACTCAGATGATGAGAAACCAAGGAAAGGAGAAAGACGATCATCCAGGGTCAGACAGGTAACTCATATACCTCCTAAAGCGTTCATCACCTCTTTGGGTAATGCTTTAGATATCTCCTCCTTTTCTTTCTCCTCAAACTATTTCACAGTTGGCATCTCTAGATTTCTATGCATTCATCTTCTCTTTCTCTTTTTTTCATTTTTAATTTAGATTTGCTCCGGCCTTCAGATTTCTGAGTGAAAACTTTAAAAATAAAACTTAACTGTGAAAGTTAGGAGGCTGGTATATATTCTCTTCCTAAAGCACATTATTTAAAAGCATAATTATTCAATTAAAACCTTAAAACTATACGATATGATATTAAATGAGCAAATATGAAAGATTATGTGTAGTTTGTGACTAGAAAAGAAACAATGGGAAAAATTAAATATACCAAAATTAAAAAATAATCACATTAAATGATAATAGGTCAACTCCCCCCTTCTTTCTAGATGTTTAATTTATATTTATTTTTAAAGCTTGAAGCTAAAAAATAAACTGGAAGCTTTCATTATTGTATTCCTTTTGGTCACTGATTCAGTAAGAGTCCATATTTGTCATGCTTATTTACTGTCACACGTTTCTGTGTTACTGAAAAAAAGCCTGTCATTTGAGTTCCTCCTTCCTGCATGTGTCTCATGAGATAGTTTTTCTCTTCTCTTTTGATAGTGAGCAAGTATACTTGAAACCATTGTAGATCTATTTTTTCTTTCAGGCACGAGCTGCTAAACTCTCAGAGTGCAGCCAGGTTGCTGAGGAGGAAGAGGATCAAGAGACACCTTCCAGAAATCTGAGGATCAGAGCAGATCGAAATTTGAAAACAGAGGAGGAAGAAGAGGAGGACGAGGAAGAGGAAGAAGAGGAGGAAGAGGAGGAAGAAGATGAGGGAGTAAAATCTATGGATGCACCAATTCTGAAACAGTTTGAGGAAGAAGAAGAAAGGAAAGAGATGCCCAAAGCAAAACCAGAAGAGGTGATGTATGAGAGACCCCAAACCATAAGATCACAGGAACAGGAGGGGTTAGAGAAAGGAGGGAGAATTACAAGGTCCCAGGAAGAGGCTAGTAGAAGAAGTCATCTGGCCAGACAGCAGCAAGAGAAAGAGATGAAGACAGCTTCTCCCCTTGAGGAAGAAGAAAGAGAAATAAAATCTTCGAAAGTCTTGGAGGAAAAATCAAAGTCTCCTTCCCCTCCTCGATTGACTGAAGATCTGGAAAAGGCTCCTCTTATGCTACAGCCAGAGCAAACTGCCAGTGAGGAGGAGACTCCCCCACCTTTACTTACCAAGGAAGCATCTTCACCACCACCTAATACACAGCTTCAGAGTGAAGAAGAAACAGAGCCCATGGAAGGCCCAGCCCCCCCTGTTCTCATCCAGTTATCTCCTCCTAATACAGATGCTGAGGCCAGGGAGCCATTAATAGCTCAGCATACTGTCCAGTTGGCAGGGGGCTTGTCTCTTTTGTCAAGTCCTGCAGGCACCAATGCTGCAGAATCTCCAGCTGAGAAAGTGCCCGAAGAGAGTGCCCTGCCTCTAGTTCAGAAAAGCACACTAGCTGACCCCTCAACCCAGAAGGGTCCTGAAACTGAGTTGGATAAATCTGCTCCACCACTCCCTCTAAAATTTGAGGAATTAGCACCAGCCAAAAGGATCATTGAGGAATCTCTGAAACAGCCATCTTTGGAACAGAAGGAAGGCAGAAGGGCTTCTCATACCCTTCTCCCAAGCCACAGATTGAAACAGTCAGCTGACTCATCCTCTAGCCGGTCCTCCTCATCTTCATCTTCCAGTTCTAGATCAAGATCTCGCTCTCCTGATAGTTCAGGTTCTCATTCTCACTCACCTCCAAGATCTAAGCAGAGAGATATAGCTCATGCCAACCCTCGTGGTAGATCCAAGATGGGCTCCAGATCAACATCAGAGTCCAGGTCACGTTCCCGTTCTCGTTCACGGTCAGCATCAAGCAACAGCAGAAAAGTAAGTGTGGGAGTATCCTGGGTGTTTTGATGTTCTGTCTGTATGGCAGTGTTTTTCAACCCCAGGAGAAGCTATCATTTTCTGGCAGAAATAGGAAAAGCTTCCTTTAGTTGCCAGTTCAGTGATTACTTCCCCCATTTCAGAGTCTAACTTTCAATTATTTGATCCCTAAATAGGGTCCTTTTTTTTTTTTTTTCTTTTTTGAGCCCCTATACAAAGAAAAGAATTGGATTTTTTTTTTTTTTTTTTGCTTCATTTACCCACCTTCTCCCCTAGACTATAAACTTCTTAAGGATATAGACATGTCTTTTTACATGTGTATTCCAGTACCCAGCACCTAGTTGGGACTTAATAAGTAATTTGTGGAGTAATAAAAGAAGTCAGGGAGATCACTACTAACACAAACAGGAATAAACACAGGGACAAAAAGTTCCAAAGTATTAAATTGGGTCAGCAGAAGTTGGAAAACTCAGTGATCTACTGAACATAGACCATATAAAATAATTTGCATTATGTGTTTCATTTCTTCAGTCTCTGAGCCCTGGAGTCTCCAGGGACAGCAGCACCAGCTACACTGAAACCAAAGATCCCTCTTCTGGTCAGGAGGTTGCAACTCCACCAGTGCCACAACTGCAGGTCCTTGAGCCAAAGGAGAGGACTTCCACCTCATCCTCTATTCCAGTGAGGCCTATGAGCCAACCTGAGCCAGCCGAAAAGCATGTGATACAGAGGGTACAGCCTGAGCGGGTAGGCTACTCCCTCTCCCTAGAGGGAGATGGAGGATTAGGCATGATTTTCCTTTTTGTCTTAGCTACAAAACTGAAAGGTCAGTCTGGATAAGATTCACTAGAAATGTAGAAGGTTGGGGATACCTGTTAGATTCCACTTAACTCATTTCCATCTCCCTGGTTCATGAGGCTGAGTTCTCAGCTCTAGGGTGCTCAGGGTCAGTTCTTCCACAGAACTCTTTTTCTGCCTAAAAGGAAGCCTTTTCTTGTTTCTCTCAAAATAGAATTCTAATAAAATGATTTCTGACGTAGAAATTTTTAAAGCAATATTCCATTCTACTTTGGAAAATGAAATAAAGATATATAGGGCTGAGTGCAGAGTTGGTGTGTGATGTATGCCCTGCTCTGCCTTTTACCAGCTCCAGGTTAAAGAAAAGGAACCCAGCAGATATAAGTACGTTGCTATGTTTGTTTTGCTATCTTTGTCCTGACAGGGGAGCCCAAAGAAGTGTGAAGCTGAAGAGGCAGAGCCACCAGCTGCCACACAGCCCCAAACCTCAGCAACTCCAACCTCTCACCTACCAGAATCAGAAAAGATTCATCACACTGTGTAAGTGATATACCTCAATTGGGGTATAATAAGGAACTAGAAATGTGGGATAGTTCTGGATAGTTCTTTACTTCATAGGGTTCTTCGACTAAGCAGTCCTAGTTTCCTTTTAAAACATGAAGGCAGAGCTTTATCTGGACAAGGGCTAGACTTCAGTTACTATGTTGGGACCTGCCACCAGAGCTCTTCAGGTAGTCTGAAAAGTGATGGTGAAAGCATAAAGAAACCCATACTGATCATCTGACCAAAATAGTCAGTTTCTTTAAGGAGAAGACAGCAGAGGCTTCTGTTACCAAACTGAAGACAGTGTAAGGGAATTGACCCAGGACGTCTTAACTCAGTCTTTAACTCACGTTTACCAGCTACATCTAAGCCCAGGAATACAACTTAATATTAAGTATATTGAGGGTCTACAAAGAAAAGCACGGGAGGGTGCTGCTGTGTTTTGGTTTCTGTATTTTTCTTGATAATTAGCTGTCATTTTATTAAACACAGTCTAGTTAGCTCTTACAGCATACAGAAGAGCAAAAGATGAAGTCCATATCAAGTCCAAGGTTTATTCCTTAGTTCCCAAAGACCTTTGAATTGACCTTATCATTCATACAATTAATGTGTGTTTTCTATTCCTTATATTAGTTCTAGAAAAATACAACAAATTAAATCTGTGGTTGAATAGTTAACTATTATTCTGAGCTCTTAAGTATTAAAAATTAAGCAATTGAACCAAAATTTCTGACTTCAAATTCTCATAGGAAATGAAAAAGAAAAACATTGTGGAAATAAGATGTTTACCTTTTAGACATCAGGAATCTGGTACTGCTTTGGTGAATGTTCTTTGTAGATAGTTGGCCTAAAGTTGTTCCATATGTTTCTGTGTCATTTTAACACTATACTACCAGTATGATTTTTCCCTTTATGTAGAATTTTAATAATTTACACTCTTCTAAGAGTGTATCTTTTTGCTTCTGATTTTGGGGGGTGGTGGGCAGGTGACATGATTTTATTATCTCATTTCCTTATGACTTTAATAATAGTTTTGTACTCCTTACTAGATAGCTCTTGCCTTGGTAATACCCTTGCAGCTGTCCATTCCAATATTTTTGCCTCTGCCGCCATCTTGTGGCCATTTCATTTTGGGTTTAAAAGCCAGAAGTTCATTCTACTTCCTTTGAAAAGTTTTCGTGGTTTTTTTTTTTTTTTTTGGATGAGTACATTCTCCTTTGGAAAAGGGTGTTTCTTCTAGGACCGTAATGTGAAAACCCAGCGGATTCTGGAAGTGTTCAGGATTTCCCCAACTACACACCATCGATGAGGGAATGGGGACACCTTTCCTTCCATATCAGCCAGAGATAATACTTGCCTCCCCATCCAAATCCCCATCCCATGGGGGTATAGCATGTCCTTTGCATAATGGCAATTTCAAAGTAGGTGTTGACAATCTGCTACTAATTGGGCATGAGGAACTGCCTCCTATGCACCTTGAGAAGCAAGTAATTTTCTAAAAAGCTCTGTGCTTGCCCTTAAATTCTGTGGGTCTGTGAGGTCCTGGCAACAGAACAGTATACTTACGCTGTTTTGAAGCACCTTTATTTCTGGACTTCTGCATGCAGTCCAGGGCAAATAAGGCTTGGAGTCATACACAGTTTTTCTCCCCAGGTAAAGGTGGCTTTGATCTTCATTTTATGACTAAGGTAATCTACATGATCCTGGCAAGGTGATAGGCAAGTGGCACTTTGGGTAAATACTGAGATTATTCATTGTTGCCTTGGCAAGGTTCAGTGGAGCAGCCTCTAAATTAGAAATGCATTGGGAGTTTAGGAGTAGCTCACACATACCCCTCTTATCCACTTTCTGCCTGCCTGCCTGCCTTTCAAACGATCTGTCCAGCAGCCTAACAAAAAGGCATACCCAAAGGCCTAACATCGTAGACTATTTTGGGATTGGATTTGGTAAATAAACCTTTGAAAAGGTTGCCTACATTTCTGGAGATCTCGATACAATTAATTCACAACACTCTAGTCTTTCACCAGCTTAAAGTCCTAGTGTTCAGTGGCTGATCTCAGGAACCCAAGCCGATTTTATAAGTGGGATGAACAGTTTTAAATGAAAAAGACCATTTGTGACTTAACCTTGGTTTTACTGTCTGTCTCAATAAGAAGTCACATGACTTTAATAAAAACAGAGCCTAAGGCCCATTGATTCAGTAAAGTGTTTTAAAAAAATTAGGCTCTTTACTTCAAAGACCTTTCATCACTCGGAAGAGATTTCCTAACTTTTTCATTGTGCTTGGTTAATCCACCCTGATTCTAATTGTTCCCTGAGGAATTTTAGATTTGTGAGGTAAGGTGTCTTTTTCACTGCTTGGAGCATTAATTTGTGAGCCCTCAGTTCTATTTCAGTTGATCCCTATTCAAAAATACAGTCTTTTTTTTTTTTAAGATTTTATTTACTTCATTTATTAGAGAGAGGAAGGGAGGGAGAAAGAGAGGGAGAGAAACAGCTGTGTGCAAGAGATGCATGGATGGGTTGCCTCTTGCACACACCCAAGCAGGGACCTGGCCTGCAACTGACATGCCCTGACTTGGAATCAAACTGGTGATACTTCAGTTCACAGGTCAGTACTCAATCCACTGAACCACACCAGCCAGGGCCCAAAATACAGTCTTATGCTTGCTTTGACTATAACAAAAATGTCCTCATACAGCAGAAAGTAATAGTATTCTGTTTCTACATTAAAAAAAAACATAGGAAAGGCAGGGGATACTTGGTGTGGGCAATCGTATCATCTAGTAGTAGTTAATTCACACCTGAATTTTTCTAAAGACAACCTTCCTATGTATACAGACCTTGAAATAGCAATTTGGGGTTCTTGGTATTATGTATATTATGTATATTATGTATATTTTATTTTGCCTGAGTTGGAGGAAGGATATGGTCCTTTAAGCCAATATGACAGTATAATCGATAACTCCCCACAGAACCTGCAGGGCCAATATTCCAAATGATGCATAATAAAAAAAGCTGAGTTTACTGTAATCATTAGAGTTTACTCACTGAGAAATTGGTATCTAAGGACATAATCTACCAAGTCCTACTGTCCTTGGTTTTCATGGAACTAGTATGCGCCTGAGGATATTCTATATTTAATCTCACTGCCAGGGATGTGTAACTCCCACTATTTCTTAACTAACTTTCACATCAGGTCCTCACCTCTCATTAGTTTTCTACAAAAACTAAAATTCAAGCATACTTGCCTAAAAATTTCATTTACCATTAGCCTATCTGTATCTCATTCATATTCACTTATTAACTGTAATGTGATGCTATTAGCCCTCAAGTAGTTCTGTCCTTTTATTCTGGGCTACAGATGCTTTATGTGCTATTCCCGCACCCTAACCTCCACTCAACTTCACATGTATTTCAGAGATATCAGAAACATTTGTATAAGAATTTAAGTAAGTGGGAAGGGAGATCTCTTTTGTCTTTTTAGAGACTACAAGGAGAAGCTGCATGGGGCTCTGACATAGTTAACAAGGCTTCAGGACTGGTCCTGCAAGTAGATTGAGTCCCCTTCGGGGGTAATTTTAAGGATTCTTCTTTTATGAAAATAAAGCCTTGGGAATTTTTGGATCCCACAGAATTGATCGTAGGGGAATAGCACAAACTTGCTATGTCTTAAGGCCAAGGATAACATGGTAAAATTCTTATTCTTAAAAAAGTGAGGTACAATTTCCAGTAAAAGAAAATGTTTTTCTCCAAGGATACTACTTCTGGAGAGGCATATTGGCAGCTGAAAGCATTTAGGACAGTTGATGGACAGGGAACAGTTATTTGGATATTTAAAAGTGACGTTCTCTATGGGAATTCTAGCCAAAAAATTGATTTAAGATGAAAACTTTTAGTTTAGCAAGCATGTATTAAAGTGTCCACCTCGCACCCAAAGTGACAACCTAATTCAGAAATATTTACTGAGCATTTCTCTGTGTTAGGCCTTGGGCTAGGGGCCAAGGAATACAGTGTCTGACCCTCAGGAATGCTGCAGGACAAAGATGAGGGGCAAGTAAACCAGGGGTTATTACATAGAATGATAGGGGCAATTTCAGTAAATTGCCTAAAAACCTGTCAGGCAATTTACTTAAAGTCTTTGTATGGGAGAGAGCATCCTACTCTTTGAGTGAGCCAAAAAAGAGTTCTGTAGGTAGCATCCAATGGGATAATAGCCTAATAGGACAGGTGTTTATGCATATCCTTACCTGGACTGGAAGTGTCATTCAAGCCAGACCTTTAAGAGTGAACCTTTATCACACTCTTCCATGAGTTAGGTATTGTTATTATCCCCACTTTACAATTAAGAAGCACAAAAATGATTAGGAACTTGCCCGGTCTCACACAACTTGTATGGGGGTGGGACTGAGGCCAGGATTGGGCCCTCGCCAATTTGACTCCAAAGCTAAACTGCACAACCTTTTTAGCATGCCTTTGGCATATAAGTTTAAGATTTTAAGCAGCATAGGGGAAATTTTATTCCTGGGTATAAGCTCTGGTGTTACAAATGAGATAAATAATAACATTTTTGGTTAAGCCCAGAAGCTTGTCTTAGTGTCAAACTTCTCCTGCCACTAGGATACAAAAGGAGCACCTTTGGAGTCCACCAGTGAGCATTTTGAGCATCTACTGAGTATTTTATGAATGGTTAGAGTCAACTTACCATTTCTCATTCATGCTGGTGAAGATGCCCATAATTAATTTCCATTTAATCACTTTCCATCCAGCAGGTAGCCCCCACCCCATATAACAGCCCTCTCTAATTTCAGTTTCTCATCTACTTCAGAGCCTTCACCTTAGAGCCCTCACTCCAAGAATTGCCTTTGTGCTTCAGCTACCCAAGGTCCCCTTGCTCTGTTTATCTTTTTCTTTTGTGACTCCAGTGGACTCTGGGGCAGGGTGACCTTATTAAAGACTCTGAAACAAAGTTGTCTGTCTTCTCTTCAGAGACACCTCTCCCCCCACCCTTCTCCCCCACTAGTAATTCAAAAAGGGTCTCTCCTTATCCACTTCTTTCAACACCCCTGGTGAAAGGACAGGTTGGAGTAGATAGAAACGTGTGGTCAATGGTAGGGGTGAGCAGCCCGTTATTGTACTGATTGGATACTGCCAATTCTCATCCCACCTTGACCAGCTGATTGGGTGATGTGGTTTCAAGGTTTAATGCCTGGTCTCTTGGGGAGAGGGGGGTGGACATAAAAATTGGCCTAAGACTCTCCATTCTGTCTCTCAATTCTGATTTTATCTGTCCTCTTTAATTGTTTTTTCACTCCCTGCTCTGCTGTTTTCCTTGCCTGTATTCTCTGGAATCTTCCAAGCAAGCAGCTGTAACTTTGTATGTCCTCTCTACCCAGCCCCCTCCCCGCCCCCTGGGAAGACGAGGAGAGAGCACCCTCTCCCTTTGGGGTTAGGCCTTAGCTGTTGTAACCTGAGAAAAGAAGGAAAAAGGCCATACCTACTGAGCCAGCAGTGAGCTAGCTGCCTGTGGCCTGCTAGAGGCTAAGAACCTTGCTCACTTAGGGCCCTCCCTCTTTTCTTTCCCCTCCCCTGCTGCAGCAGGGCCCTCCCCCATCCGCACACACAGACTGCTGGGTAAGTGGCAAGATGGCTCCCCTGCATGTCTCCGGCTGATCGCCGTTGCTCCGCTAATACAATAGAGCCAGCCACTACCAGCAGCCTGGCCCTCTCCTTCCTCCTCCTCCTCCAGAGAGACCAATCCAGCCGAACTCGGGGTTTGCCGTGAGGACTTAACGCTTATCTCTTAAAAGCCAGATCTATTTTAGCCTCCCCTCACCACCACCACCTCCCCTTCCATTTACCATTTTTTTTGGATCCCCAGTTGCTCCATCTCAATTTTCTTTCTCTGGATTGGGTGGCTGGGGAGGAGGTGGTGGGATCTTGGGGCAAGAAAGGTGTTTTGTTTTGTTTTTTTAATTTTTTAGGATTTTTTGTTTGGTTTTTGTTATTTCTTCCATTCCAGAAAGGGATAAACAGCACTTCCAGGGGGAGGAAAAAAAAATCATGATATCAGAAAGGAAAGAAGGGTGAGAGCTTCACATTTCCATGTATCCCCTTTCCCCACCACTCTAGCCCACCTCATCTTATTCTCTGCCCCATCCATGGCTTTCATTCCGTTTTTCATTTTGGTTTGTTTTCAGTCATTCTGCTTTCCCCCTTTGTCCTTCCTGCCTGATTTCTAATTGGCCCCACTTGCCCTCTTTCTGTAGGAAATAGGTATTTTTTTATAAGCCTTTTTTTTAGGTTTAGAGAGTTGAATCTTGGGTTTCTGTGGGGGCCTGTTAGCTGGGGGCACAGTTCCGACTTTCCCCTCCCCCCCTTCCTGTGCATCCCTCCCTACTCTGGGGAAGCTGTTCTGACCTCTGAGTGTCAGTTAGCCTGTCGGGAATGCTGAATTTCCTGGTGGTAGTTATCAGCCTGGGGAGGTTTGGTTTCCCTTCTGAGACTTAGGCCCCTGATCATCTCAATTTGGATTTTTTTTTTTAACCCCAGTGTTTGGGTGGGAGTGGGGGTAAGATTAGAGGTAGAAGTTAGACATGAAGACAGAAAAATAAGAGGAAAATAGTTTATCTGAAGTGTATCTGTGGGATTCATTGCCTGAAATGAGAGATAACTTGTGAGATTGGAGAGTGGGTGGAGTGGGTTCAGTGTTTGTGGGGGCAGAATGCATGGTGTGGGGGAGGGTGTGTCCTGACTGGGGGGCCTGCTGTCTTTATCTTTTGGAAGTTGGAATGAGGGAATGGGAGAAACTGGGCGAAAGCAGAATATAAGAACAATTCCTACACCTCTGAGCAGGTAAAAGTGGCCTGATTTTTTCTCTGAGCTTTCATACTCTCTCCAGCAGTTGTAGTTTTTCCTTTTAGATGAGAAGGTGCTTGTTGGAAGCTTGAACCTTAACCAGCCCTACTTTCCCTGTAGCCTGCACCCCCACCGTCTTTCTTCTGGTGTGTCCAGATCCTGTGGGTCAGTAGGCCTTATTAAGCAGTTGATTAAGCATAAGTCTGGTATCATTCACCATGGCCATGGTCATTTCTCCTTGTCTTTTTAAAGAATCAGGCTTCTCTTAGTTTGTCGTGCAATTTTGTTAAATAAAGGTGCCTATGGCCAGGGGACAGAGAGGCCAGAGGTTGTGGGCAAATCACAGTCACTTTTGAGGGACTGTTTTGGGTGGAGGGGCTGTTTGCATGTAAGAGTGCTTTGGTTAATTACCTAAGAACAAATGGAGCCCTGACCCAACAAATCACAGCTTTATCCCATCTGGGCTGTGGGTGGATATGGTTGCCTTGATCTATATACTTCCCCAAGGAGAACAGTTTCCCACTTTGCCGAAGGGAAAAGATCTCTAGTCTAATGTGAAAAGTAGCTCTCCAAACCCACTCAAGTAATGAGGTATGGGTTTCCTGACTGAAAACCTAACATTTTGTTCTTTTTTTTTTTCCCCTTTGGTTTTTTTCCTGCCCTTTTCTCCCAACCTCTCCCCATACTGTCAGTGAGGAGAAGGAGGAAGTGACCATGGACACAAGTGAAAACAGACCTGAAAATGAGGTGCCAGAGCCCCCCATGCCTATTGCAGACCAAATCAGCAATGATGACCGCCCAGAGGGCAGTGCTGAAGATGAGGAGAAGAAAGAGGTAAATCTTCAAACTACTCGTTGGGGTGGGTGGGCAGGCAGGAGTGGACCTAGGGGAAGGAGTGGACCAGTCTGGTGATCCCTCACCCACAGTTGGATAGCTACAGAAGGGGATAGGCAGAGACTCCCATCAGGGTAGGGCCAAGGGAGAATTCGCTGGTTTAGCAAGGGAGACCCTTTGTGATGGCGACAGGCCTCATTCTTAGCCCTTTCTTTGATTGGGAAGTAGTACAGTCCAGACTCTGGAAGTTTGTAACAGGAAAATAGTTAATGACCCTTTTAAGACCCAGCTCAGCTTTCCCTGCCACCTCCTCCAGCTTTTTCCTGTGGTAACTCCTTTAGCTTTCCCTCCTTTTTAAAAGCCTGTGGGAGCTAAACGCCATCTAGTGGGCTTTGGTGGTTTTCAGTTGACCAGCCATGCTGAGGAATTTTTGTTTGGCATCTGCCCCCCAGTGGTTTCATTGCAGAGATGTAGCTACTTAGAATTCAGCACCTAGGGTGATCCCAAAACCCTTTTTCCATTTCTGTGACCCCTCTACCTACTTTTTTGGCATATATATTATCCTGGTGTTCTGCACCCAATTCAGGGGCCTCCCCCTTCAGAGCCAGCGAAGTCTACTTGGCTCTTAATAGAAAAAGCATTAGCTGGGTTGGGAGTGGGGTAACAGGGTGGGAGGGACTGTTGTGTGTGTAGCCTTTCTTTGATGTGTGTTGCGGGGGTGGGGGCCGGTGAAAGTGATTTGATGTGCAGAATATTATTTATTACAAGGTCCTTCTTAAAACTTTGTCCAAGTACCTCATGTACGGTAATCCGCCCGTAAAATATAACCCTGCCCAACTGGCCAATCGCTGATGCCGCCTCTTCCTCTGGACCCACCCGCTGCTACTGAGCTGCCCAATCAGAGCCGAGTCTGCTATCCAGGCGTCTTGGCCAGAGGGGGGCATGTATATGGGATCCTGTGATGGGCCCCCTTTTGCCTCCCTGTCTTGCTTACATCAGGGGGCCAAGAAGAGCACTGTTGTGGAGAGACTTATATTGAGAAAGCAAACAGCACTTGGAAAGGGGTGGACTTGCACCATCTCCCTATTTGGGACACCCCAAGAAGAGCTTGTGTCAGTGCTGGGGCGCCTGCCCACATGCCTTTACCCTTTTGAGGACTGTGGGTTATCTTGTTTGCTACAGACTGTTGGGATCCCCTTCTAGGGCACCAAGACCTCCTAAAGAGTCAATGTTTGTGATCACAGTGCCATGCTGTAAAATACCGAATGGGGCTCTCGGCCTAAGCTGTGACGACTAGGAACCCTGCAGAGAAGTCTAGGGTCTGAGCCCAGTGATTTAATGCTGATGACAGCCCAGCCATGTATCACCACTTGCTCATCAGATGGACTTTCCTTTGGTCCCTGTTATCCATGGTGAAGGGCAGCATGTTGGTTGCTCCAACTTCTCCTCCATCCCTGGAGGCAGGGTCTCATTCATCCACCTGACTGGAACCACTGTCTCAGCTGGAGTCCCTGAGGAGATGCCACATACAACTCTCAGAAGAAAAGCATTCTGATCTTGCTGCTGAATGTGTGCCAGGCCCTGGGGCTACCCACCTTCAACCCCCAGGCTGCCTTCTACCTTCATCAGAGGTTCCATGATCCCACTCGGTGAGAGGACCCCCCTCCCCAGTTACAGACAGGGGAGAAAGGGACTCTGGAATCATCACCTGAATTCCAAGTATCGGGTGGTGGTATCGCTGCAACTTGCCACTGGTGGACATAGGGTCCTGCCTGCCTCTCACGATAAAAGGCCAGGACCATTTCTGCTACTCACAGCCCATCTCATCAGGGACTGCAAGATGATGCCCCTACAGGGCCGGGACTGATGTCTCTGCCCCTTTTCCCCTCTGTACCCCTCGCTGAGCCTGGCCACCACCAGTGAACTGTCTTGACATCATGGAAACTGGGCAGCGTCCCCCCACACGTTTCCCTCCCGCCCCCCCTGCGCCCCTGGGAGGACTCTGGCAGTGCCGTGCTGACCACCACGCCGTGCGCCCACATTTTTGCCAACCCAACCCCCCACCAATTGCACAGCGCCTAGCAGGGAGGGCTCATTCTGATTGGACCGGCGGTTGACTAGATACAGTACACAGTGAGGTGCGATTGGCTGAACTGAAGATCCCAGGTGTGAGATGGTACCTGGAACATTTGTCATATTCCTAGTTTATTTTCCTCTATTTTCTTCTTTCTTTTTTTTAATCTTTTATTTTAATTCTCTCTTTATCTTTTTTTTTTTCTTTATTGGATTTATTTATTTGGTTCATGTTTTTCCTGTTCTAATTAAGACTTTTTTTTCCACTAACTTACCCATCAAGAGCGGTCTGGCTAGGGGTCAGGCTGGCCCTTAACGGAGACCAAGGAGACTTGGTTAGACGACACAAACGGGGCTGGGGGTGGATGGGGAAAGGGGGTTTCATCAAGAGGGTACTGCCCTGCCCTTAAGAAGGGTGGTGGTTCTTAGTTTTTCCAGAAATAAGCATTAAATCTAAAAAATGCTCTATTCTCCTTTTCTCTCTCTCCCTCTTTTTGCTTTGTCCATTTCCTTTTTCCTCCTCAGTGTTTGGGACAGAAACTTGCTTGAAAAGCAAGTTTGGAAGTTTCTAGTCCTTGCAAGAGCCCCTAAGATTTAAGCTCTGGTTGGGGAGGAAACAGTAAGGTTTTAATAGAGCTCCATGTAGTGATTGCAAAGTCTGAGACTCTCCTTGGGGACAGTCCTTTGTAAAAGCCTTCCTTTACTGAAGACACCTTTAAATTCTTTTGGGGGGCACTTCGCTCAGGGGCCTCATCTGCATTAGCTGTGCATTTCCACAGTGCGGTAGGAGTCTAGACAGTCTTAACGGCTAGCTGTCTTAATGACTCAAAGCTACTGTGACTGAATGTCAGGCTGGACACTGAGAAAAGGAACCTTGTTAAAGTTGCCATCTCAGGGTGGTTTTTTTAATTTCTTCATGTTTTCCTCGAGTTAGCAAGGAAGACCTAGGAAGCCAGGTGACCCAGTTCTGGGCACATCTTGAGCTTGGCATTCTCTCACCCCATAGAGACAGTGGAAGGGGTCATGACTGGTGTGCTTTTGAAGGGCTGGGAGGCTACTGAATTCCTCTTCCAGCTTATTTCTGGTTAAGCTAATACATAGTTGTGGTATATGAACTAGATGACTTTCCCTGCTGTGATGTTTGGTTTTATTTATTTTTTTCTCTAACTTGCATTGATTCTGCTTCGTTTTTGCCGTTTGCCGCTTCTGTTTTGGTCTCTGTCTGTCTCTGTCTCTCTCTTTCTGTGTGTCTTTGGAGCTTAAGCTAAGACTGCCTCATCTAACCTCCTTTCCCCCTCTCTGTGGGGTGTGTCTCTTTCTCTTTTTTTTCCCTCTTCTTCTCTATACAGAGTTCGCTGCCCAAATCATTCAAGAGGAAGATCTCCGTTGTCTGTAAGTCTAACCCCAGTCCCTAATAAAAGCCAAGAATACCATAAAAATCAAGAGTTCATAGAGAAACAGATTCCCATTCTCTCTCAGTGGCACTCTTGGGTCACTCCTCCTTCCCCATCACCTCCACCCATCAAATCTGGTTCTGTTTTGAAATTCAAAGCATTAGATGATCCCTATTATTTTTCCCCAGTCATATTTCTTTGCTAACTCCAGTGAGATTGTAAGGTGTCTCATCACTTCTTATGTAGTCCTACATGCATTCTTTCAGGTGCCTGAATCCTCAAAAACCAGTAGTAGGTTTGAGGGACTCTTACATAATGCTTACCAGTTTATGCCTTATTCTAAGAAAGCATCTGAGGAAGTGAAAGTGCTCCACACTTCAGAGTTAACATTTTATTTTACTTTATTTTATTTTTATTTTTATCACTTTTTAATCCTTACCCAAGGATATATTTGTTGATTTTAGAGAGAGGAAGGCAGGAGAGAGAGAGAAACATCAGTCTGTTGCCTCCCACACATGCCCTGGTCAGTGATGGGACTGGCAACTTTTGGCGTGTGGGATGATTCTCCAACCAACTGAGCAGCACCCACCAGGGCTCAAGACAATCACATTTTAAACATTTCCCCAGTGAGGCTCTCTAAATTGACAGAAGTATAATGGATCTTTATAACTTAAATACCAGTATGTAGTGTGAAAATTAACCTAAAGCATGATCAGTTTACATCATGATCTAAATTAACTTAGATTTTAGTATCATGTTCTCCCAGACCCTTCCCCCTGCATTCCCATATCCTCAATCTTTCTTCCCCGTACTTTACATACTTATACCACTAAAAGTTTAAACTGGTCATCCAACCCTGTTTCCTTCAGAGATGTGTGGTTTTCAACTGTCAGAAAGTGGCTCCAGTCCTTTTGAAGCATGGTTTCCCAGTCCCCAAATACAATTTTCTTAAGTTAACCTTTTAGTAAAATTTCAATCAAAGGCTATCTGTGAGTGTTGTAATGTGAACCAGCAGAGGGCCTGAGACCATCTTAAGTATTGGGTCCTATTTCTTGGGGACAGCAGCTACCAAGGGGGTGCCAGCTGGAAACAGTGACACAGAGGGGGGCCAGCCTGGTCGGAAGCGACGTTGGGGAGCCAGCACAGCCACCACACAGAAGAAACCCTCCATCAGTATCACCACCGAATCACTCAAGGTGAGGTGGGAGAAGCCAGGGAAGGGAGGATGAGACACGTTAAGGTGGGAGTAGACATGGGCCCAGTGTAACGGGGTGGGGGGTATCTGTGTCCCAGAGCCTCATCCCCGACATCAAACCCCTGGTGGGGCAGGAGGCTGTTGTGGATCTTCATGCCGATGACTCCCGAATCTCTGAGGATGAGACAGAGCGTAATGGTGACGATGGGACTCATGACAAAGGGCTGAAAATATGCCGGACCGTCACTCAGGTAAGGCTCCTTCACCCCTGTGTTGGGCATGGTCAGTAGAGGCAGAGCAGGCAACTGAAGAGCTGTGGTAGAGTCTTAACGGGGAAGTCTCCCGTCTCTGCAGAGGGTTGGATTAATTAGTCCTTTTTAAGGATCAGTTGGCTGCCAGATCCAACCTGTTGCCTATAATAAAGTTTTTTGAGAACACAGTAACACTGGTTCATGTACTCTTGTCTGTGGCAGCTCTGTCTTATAAAGTCAGAGTTAAATGTTTGCAACCAAAAACTGTATGGCTCACAAAGCCTAAAATTATTTACTCTTATCCTGTACAGAACAAATCTACAAGACTCCTGCCTTAGTTTTCCTCCTGGAAGAGCTGAGGCATTAACAGTCCCAGGATCTGGTGGAGGTGAACTTAATGATGAAATCTTCCCCTAGTGGAAGGGACACAATAGGTTGACTGTACCACCCTTTTTCACCAGGAAACCAGAAGCTGAAAAGAATGCCAGTTTTAAGAATCCCTCCGTATCTGATACTTCACAGGTAGTACCTGCAGAGGGCCAGGAGAATGGGCAGAGAGAAGAAGAGGAAGAAGAAAAAGAGCCTGAAGCAGAACCCCCTATACCTCCCCAGGTTTCAGTAGAGGTGGCCTTGCCTCCCCCTGTGGAGCATGAAGTAAAGAAAGGTGGGTGAACCATTAATGATTGAAACAGTGCAGCTCCCTGAATTCCCAGAGCACTTTATTTGGACTTCTTTTAATGTTTTCCTGCCTTTTATTACAGTATCTTACATATCTGTTCTCTCTGCCTCTCCTAGTTGTTAAGCTTTTGTACTTGAGGGCTAGTTTCGACTCTGTTTAAATCTTTGAGTACCTGTAATGAGGTTGGCCTAGACAATACCTGATAGGTGCTTTGCACATTTAGATGGAAGAGTAGGGAGCAACGTAAAAGAAAGTAAGTTATGTTGCTCCCTACTAAAAAACGTTTGTGTGCTCTATTTGATAGTGACTTTAGGAGATACTTTAACAAGACGTTCCATTAGCCAGCAGAAGTCTGGAGTTTCCATTACAATTGATGATCCAGTCCGAACTGCTCAGGTGCCCTCCCCACCCCGGGGCAAGATCAGTAACATTGTGCACATCTCCAATTTGGTAAGTAGTTGTTTCCCACAGTGCAGCCTTGTTGAGTTTGAGTTTTAGATTCATGATTCTTAAGTTCAGCTCCTAAGGAGACATTGACTCTGAGTGAATTTACTTAAATCTCTCAACCTGTCTCATCTGAAAAATGGGGAGAAAAAAGTATCACCTTGCAGGGTTTTCTTGAGAATTTGTAGAGGGCCTGGCACGTAATGCCTTAATGAGTGTTGCCACTCTTCTCACATTCCTACTAGAGGGTTCTGACTTCTCTGCCGTCATCCATAGTTTGAAGCTATACTCCTATGACAGCAGCTTGGGAAATCTTCAGATAGTTATATGAGTGTGGTTCTTCCATTTCCATTCACAGGTTCGTCCCTTCACTTTAGGCCAACTGAAGGAATTGTTGGGACGTACAGGAACTCTGGTGGAAGAGGCCTTCTGGATTGACAAGATCAAATCTCATTGCTTTGTAACGGTGAGGGACAAAAGCTCTAGGTTCTGGCATGTTCTCTTTTGTGACCAACATGGCCAGGTTTGAGGGTGTTGTGGCAAGTGGGAGAGATTAAAGGCCTATTGTGACTGCTCTGCCTTCTCCCTTCCTCCACCAGTACTCAACAATAGAGGAAGCAGTTGCCACCCGGACAGCTCTACATGGGGTCAAATGGCCTCAGTCCAATCCCAAATTCCTTTGTGCCGACTATGCTGAGCAAGATGAGGTAAGAAACTTAGGGAGAGACAGAGAGGTTATCTTCTCCCAAGATTCCCTCTGTCCTTCCTCTTTGTTTCCTTTAGTTGAACTGTGGGGCTTCAAAGTCTGTCCACTGGTACCTGGGCTCCTTCTGTGGGAGTGATGTCATCTCCATCCTGAGTATCCTTGTCCTTCCTCTACCCACAGCTGGATTATCATCGGGGCCTCTTGGTGGACCGTCCCTCTGAAACTAAGACAGAGGAGCAGGGGGTACCACGGCCCCTGCACCCTCCACCCCCACCCCCAGCCCAGCCACCACAGCATCCCCGGGCAGAGCAGCGGGAGCAAGAGCGGGCAGTGCGGGAACAGTGGGCAGAGCGGGAACGGGAAATGGAGCGGCGGGAGCGAACTCGATCAGAGCGTGAATGGGATCGGGACAAAGTTCGAGAAGGGCCCCGTTCCAGATCACGGTCCCGTGACCGCCGCCGCAAGGAACGTGCAAAGTCTAAAGAAAAGAAGAGTGAGAAGAAAGGTACTTAGCTGTGGGGACGCATGTATTCATTGGTACATGGGAAAGAGAACAATGGGATGGGACATAGGGCCCTGTGCATCAAGTCCAACCCACTTTCTTCCACGTCAGAGAAAGCTCAGGAGGAACCACCAGCCAAGCTCCTGGATGACCTTTTCCGCAAGACCAAAGCAGCTCCGTGCATCTACTGGCTCCCGCTGACTGACAGCCAGGTGAGTGATGGCCTTCCTGCCCTTCTCAGAGCTGCAGGGAAGCTGGGGTGTGGGACACTGGGGAGAGTCATAGGAGTGTCAGAGGGAAGAGTCCCAGGGAACAGCTTAGAGCAATACAGAAAAATCGAAGCATCAAAGAAAGGATGTTTTAAGAAGCAGTTGATGAGTCTGCCTGGAGAAGTCAAATCTGAGAGTGTGAAGGTAGACACAAAGACAAGAAATGTGTTTGTGTAGCCTAGGAAAGTGGCTGTGCCAGTCATTCTTAGAAAGTATTTTTAGGTAGCAGAGAAATTTCCTGTTTTGTAAACTTACCCATTTCTTGTTTTTCAATACTTAGTGTTTTTTCCTTCTTAAATTTGTTTCTTTGTAACAGGCCTTTTGGGAATTTTAAGCTTATGCTACTCAAGTAGAGATTTGTTCACATGTAGACAGCTAGGGAAATATCGGTGGCCTGCATGAATGTGCCAGTACCTATTGTGGGTGTAAAAGGTGAACACTTAAAGGAACTGGGGCTCTTGAGACAAGGACAGATGTTACCGCTCCTCTTCTCCCCCCCCAAACCCCCACCACCACCAACCACCCTACACACACACTCCCTCTTTCTCCTCCCCCCCCTCCTGCTTAACAGTAAAGCCGGTGGTTATCCTGAGCGAGGAGTACTGGATCCAGGTGCAAGTAGAGTGGGGCTGATGTGAGCTGGGCTGAGATGATATATTCTCTGCCTTTTCTTCTGGCCACAGATTGTTCAGAAGGAGGCAGAGCGGGCTGAACGGGCCAAGGAGCGGGAGAAACGACGGAAGGAGCAGGAAGAAGAAGAGCAAAAGGAGCGGGAGAAAGAAGCGGAGCGAGAGCGGAACCGACAGCTGGAGCGAGAGAAGCGGCGAGAGCACAGCAGAGAGAGGGACCGGGAGAGAGAGAGGGAACGCGAACGCGACAGGGGGGATCGAGACAGGGAGAGGGACCGGGACCGGGACCGAGGCAGGGAGAGGGACCGGAGAGACAACAAGCGCCACAGCAGGAGCCGGAGTCGGAGCACACCTGTGCGGGACCGGGGGGACCGGGGTGGGCGCCGCTAGCTGCGGAAATACTGGGGAGAACTGCAGGTATCGGCCACCCTGCTCCTGGGTGGGGACGCAGGGCCACAGAGGGACAGGTACAATCTCCACCACCTGGGAACCAGGGGTCTTTCACACCATTTGCCCAGTGCTGAAGTATGGCTGCCACCTGTCCCCACATACCAAACGGAGCAGCGGCCATCATCCTCCCGTACATCCCATAACCAATCTCTTGGGATTTAGCCCTCTCCTTTCTCGCATTTCCCATGAGGTCTGTGAGAGGGAAGAGCTAGGTTAGAGCGAGAGGTGGTTGGCCCAGAGGTGGGGAACAGCCAGGATCCCCCACCTTTCATTTTTCCTTCATACTGCTCACCACCTTTGGGTACTCACACCTCTTGGGAACAGCTGGGGCCAGGACTGGGTTACCTATGAGCTGAATCAGCATCTCCTGAGTCCCAGGGCCCCTGCAGTTCCCAGTCTCTGCTGTCCTGCAGCCTTTGCCTCCTGCTCACCGGTTCCACTTTATATCCACCTTTTCCTTTTGTTCAATTTTTATTTTTATTTTTTTTATTATTAAATGATGTGGTCTATGGAAAATAATAAAAATCTGACTTAGTTTTAACTAGTGTGTGAGTGATTTTCCTTGGGCAGGGCCTGGGTGAGAGCCAAATTGAAGAGGATGGGTGGAGCCAGCGTTTCTTGTGCAGGCTGCTGCATCCCGGAATCAGAGTAACTCCCTCCTTCCCTGCCTTGGGTCTACCCACACCACAGCTGTAGGGCTACCTCGCTGATGGGTAGGAGGGAAGCAGCTGGAGGTATTTGGTCACCTGCTTTTCACCTTCAAGATGCCTCCCACAACTGCCACGAGGGGGCGTTAGCCGCTTGCTCAGTAGGCATCTATAAATGAGCTTCCCTAACAGGCTCCACTCCCTGTCTCCGTCCACTCCCGCCCGTGTCTTGCCTTGGTCTCTGACCTGTTCCTAGGCCCAACCCACAGGCTCTGGACCCTTATGAAGTCCTGAAGCGTACCCCAGCCGGCCCGCTCCTATCCCCAAATGCTGCCGTCTTGCACCCAGAGTCCGAACGAGCCCTCTGAGGCTGGTCTGCGAGCACAAGCCGAGTTGCTGCAGTGGCTCCAGATTCCTCTGCCTCGCCGCACGCTCCCCTTTTGCCCTGCTGCGGGGGGCATGCGGGCCGCTAGGTGCTCCTGGGTGCATCCTCCCCACCAGCTCTGGGGATCTGGCCTGGACCTCCTCTTGCTCAAGTGCCCCGTGGGGCGCTGCGGGCATGGCCCAGGAGGGGCGGTACATCTGTATGCGCCTGGCGGCCAGCAGCACCGCCCCCCGCCCCCGCTGTTCAGCCCAAGCTGGCCGGGGAGGGTCGGAGGCTGGGCTCTCCACTCCCGCGCGGCGCGGAGCCGCCTCGCTCCTCCGCAGGCGGAGCCTCCTTCCCCCGCCCCCTCTGTCTCGCTCCCTTGTTCTCGCCGGGGCCGCTCAGACCTGCAGCGGAGCCGCGGCGCCCGCTCGGATCGCGTCGGGGCTGTGCCCCCGGACCCGGCAACCGGGGCGGGCGGGGGTGCTCCCCGTTGGGCTGGGCCCCTTGGCACTGCCAGGTAAGGGTCTGCCCTGGAGTCCGGGTTGGGGGTCCTCGGAGGGTCAAGCAGGGGGCCCGCAGCCTGCGGGTGTCTTCAGAGCAGTGCGCTCCCCGGCTGGGAGCCCACCGCTGGCTCCCTTCTCCCGCGCTCTACCTCTTTCCCTTCTTCCCTCTCTCCTCCCGCCCTCTTTTTCCCATTTTCCTCTCCCTCGGTGTCTTCGCCCTGCCTTCTCTCAGCCTGTTTGCCATCTCTGCCCCTTCCCTCTGTCTCCCCAAGCCTTCTCTCTGTCCCTTGCCCTGTCTTTCCCCATCTCCACTTCCTCTTGCCTTTTTTTCCCTCTACCTTTCTCTCCTTTCCTGTTCTTCCTCTTTTTCTTTTCCCGCCCTCCTTTCCGTCCCCTGTTCCTTCCCTCTCCTGTCCCCTTCTCTTCCCTCCTCGCTATCCTGCTCTCCACTCCTCTATTCCTTTCCTTTTCGTCCTGCCTACCACTCTGGTCCCCGGCTTCCCTCCGGCTTCCCTTTTCCCTCGGGAGGGAAAGGACTGGCAGGTGTGTGTCTGCTCTGGGGGAGCAGGGGCACAGCCACAGACACCTGCGAGGGTTCCCTCACCCTGGGGGGAGAGGGAGGAGAGAGCGGTGGGGAGGGTTCTCTGTCCGCCTCCCTTCCGTGGCCCCCTCTGAACAAGCCCCTCTCCCAGAACGAAGTTCTGGCGGCCTGGCCTGACACCCAGAGGTGAGGGCTGCCCTGCCCGCCCATCACGCACAAGGCCCCTCTTCCTGCTCCTTCCCATTCCCCAGACTAGTACCAGTGACTCCTGTCTGCCTTTCAGAGACCAAGCAGCTTCCTTTGATCTCTCTTTCAGTCTCTCACTGCCATTCTGTCCCTGTCTCTGCTGGACAGTCCATGAGCCTTGGTTTCGCCCTCAGTCACACTGTCTCTAGCTTGAGTTTGCCTCTTCCCCCTCCCCAGTCTCCTGGTCCTACCCCCACCTCCACTGGCTCTTCTTTCAGCTCTGGCCCCTCACTCTGCCTCATGAGCCCAGTTCCCCTTCAAGGACTTCAGATGGCAGTGTGCGCTGGGGGCAGGTTTCTGGGGAGGAGGGACTTTTCACAGGCTCTCGAGCCTGTCTTAGGCTGCACTCCTTGTTATCTCAGCCTGACCCTAGACAGCTCCATGAATCCCAACCTCTAGGTTTTACAAAAGGCTTCCGCCTTTTCTGGTAGCCCCCACCTCCCCCAGCCCCTTGCTGCATGCCTCACCTGAGAGGACATGGGCCAGTGGGGCTCCAGGCCCTCCCAGCATCTGCTGTCCTGTTTTCTGCCCCAGCTTCTCTGCCAGAGTTGACTGGCTGGAGATTTATCTGCTTGGAGGGCTGGATGTGAATACAGGCAGAGCCTGAGAAGAGGAAAGGATCCGGCTGTCTGCTCTGTCTTCGACTGCATTCTGGGCATTGGGAGTCTGGTTCCTTAGAGGTTGGCTCTTCAGCATCTACCTCTGGTGGGGTGGAAGGTTAAGGTTCCTTGACCCTGAAGAGCTACCTGTCCTGCAGGTGTGGATCCATGGGGTAGCCCCAGCACATGTGGCCTCTGCCCCAGCCAGCTCATGTCTCAACACCTGGGGGCAGTGAAGAAAGCCCTAGCTAGAGCCCAAACATGTGGGGTCTGGTGAGGCTCCTGCTGGCCTGGCTGGGTGGATGGGGCTGCATGGGACGCCTGGCAGCCCCAGCCCGGGCCTGGGCATGGTCCCGGGGGGGCCCAGGACCAGCACTGCTGCGGACCCGAAGGAGCTGGGTGTGGAACCAGTTTTTTGTCATCGAGGAATATGCCGGTCCAGAGCCCGTTCTCATTGGCAAGGTAAGGATCAAGCCCTCCCATGGCGACCCTGACTCTGTAGCTCAGCCCTGTAACTTCATCACTTCTGCAATGACCTTGGTCTCTCAGGACTCCCAACACTCCACCCAATCCTAGATTCAGACTCTTGAACTTTCTGTTCCTATGTGGAACCGCCGTCATTTTGCTCTGACCATTACAGCTGCATTCAGATGTGGACCGGGGCGAGGGCCGCACCAAGTACCTGCTGACCGGGGAGGGAGCAGGCACCGTGTTTGTGATTGATGAGGCCACGGGGAATATCCATGTCACCAAGAGCCTGGACCGGGAGGAGAAGGCACAGTATGTGCTACTGGCCCAAGCTGTGGACCGAGCTTCCAACCGTCCCCTGGAGCCCCCATCAGAGTTCATCATCAAGGTGCAAGACATCAACGACAACCCCCCCATCTTTCCCCTGGGGCCTTACCATGCTACAGTGCCCGAGATGTCCAACGTCGGTGAGTACCCCGAGTCTGGATGCCCAGGTCCTCCCACCTCCTCGAGTGCCCTCTCCTCTCCTTCCCCCATTGCTTTCTACCCTGGAACCCAATCCTCTGATTCAGCCCTGCTCACATCTGGGTTCCCCCATATGCTACTCTTCCCCTTCCGGCCTTGCCCCCGCTGAGTGGGATACTGGGATCCCCCGCAGGGACATCGGTAATCCAGGTGACTGCTCACGATGCTGATGACCCCAGCTACGGGAACAGCGCCAAGCTGGTGTACACTGTGCTGGACGGCCTGCCTTTCTTCTCCGTGGACCCCCAGACCGGTGAGGGTAGGGTTCGGGAGCGGTGGGGCAGCCACAGGAGAAGGAACCCCCTAACCCAGAATCTCTCCCTAGGAGTCGTGCGCACTGCCATCCCCAACATGGACCGAGAGACTCAGGAGGAGTTCTTGGTGGTGATTCAGGCCAAGGACATGGGCGGCCACATGGGGGGGCTGTCGGGCAGTACTACCGTGACAGTCACCCTCAGTGATGTCAATGACAACCCCCCCAAGTTCCCTCAGAGTAAGCGTCCATTGCTGCCGCCTGGGCCACCCTTTGACCACCCCCTCACCCCTGTCCTAGCCAGGCCCCAGAAGAAGGAGGTGTTGGGGGAAGGAGGAGAGCTGGGGACCTCTCTAAGAATGTCTCCCCTCCACCTACCCTCAAGGCCTGTACCAGTTCTCCGTGGTGGAGACAGCTGGGCCCGGCACCCTGGTGGGCCGGCTTCGGGCCCAGGACCCAGACCTGGGTGACAACGCCCTCATGGCATACAGCATCCTGGATGGGGAGGGGTCTGAGGCCTTCAGCATCAGCACAGACGCCCAGGGTCGAGACGGGCTCCTCACCGTCCGAAAGGTTAGCCTCCTGTTGCTGACACTTGTAGACTCACTCATACCCTCCTCTTGCCCCACCAGGACACACTCATAAGTGGTCTAGAACAGACTCAGGAACCTATGTTGGCAATTAGAGATCATGGTCATCCACTTGCCTTTTAGATGAGGGCCTGGGACCCAGAAAGGGGGTGTGATTGGCTCAAGGCTTCATACATCAAACCTGTGATCGAGCTGGGGGTAGACCTAGAGTTACTAAGTCATCTGCCCCTACCCTTGACCACCAAGGCCGCTGACCTTCTGGTGCACCTTTCCTCTGAGGTGGGCCGAGCACTGGAAGCTTGTGGGGAAAGGATTCCACCTCCCGGGAGGCTGGGCCTGCCCTGGTTTCTACACGCCTCAGCCACTCCACTCCCCTCGCCGTAGCCCCTAGACTTCGAGACTCGTCGCTCCTACTCCTTCCGCGTGGAGGCCACCAACACGCTCATTGACCCAGCCTACCTGCGGCGAGGGCCCTTCAAGGATGTGGCCTCGGTGCGCATAGCCGTGCAGGACGCCCCAGAGCCACCCGCCTTCGCCCAGGCTGCCTACCACCTGGCGGTGCCTGAGAATAAGGCTCCGGGGACCCTGGTGGGCCAGGTCTCAGCCACGGACCTGGACTCGCCTGCCAGCCTGATCAGGTGAGCGAGGGTGTGTCCAGGCAGCGCCAGGCCTGGGCTGCCCAGAGGCAATCCAGTCTCAGAGAGGATGTGTTTTTGACCATAAATCACACTGGCCTCCTGGAAGAGGTCTCCCTCCCTGGGGGCCGGGGCCGGGTGCAGGCTGGAGGGCCTGGCTGTCCACT